GGAAACTAAAGAAAAGTTAAATGAATATTCAAAAAATAAAGCTGGTATTTATTTAATACTTAATAAAATAACACTTGATTATTATATAGGTTCTGCAGCTACTAGTAAATTTTATTTAAGATTTTACAAACATTTAATAAGCTTAATAGGTAGTAAGATTGTTAAAAATGCCGTAAAAAAATATGGTCTTAATAATTTTTCATTTATTATATTAGAATTATTTCCAGAAGAAGTAAATAAAGAAAATAATAAAAGATTATTAAATATAGAAGATTTTTATCTTAAATCTCTTTTACCTAATTATAATATTCTAACTGAAGCGGGTAATAGTTTTGGTTATAAACATACAGAAATAGATCGTATAAAAATGAAAACTAATTATAGTGAAGAACGTCGTAGAAGAATAGGATTATTAAATAAAGGTAAAAAGTTAACTGATACTACAATAGAAAGGATGAGAGAAAAAGCCTTATTAAGATCATCTTATGTTTATAGTGAACAAGGTTTAGCTAATATGAAAAAAAATTCTAAACCTATTATATTATATAATAAAAATGGTACGGTATATGGTGAATATAATTCTATTGTAGAAGCAAGTATAAGTTTAAAATGTTCTGTAAAAACCATATCAAGAGCTTTAAGTTCTAAAAGTAAATTGTTAAAAAGAACTTGATATATTAAATATAAATAAATTAATAATTAATTAAGCTTTTGTTTTTTGTTTTTGTGTTATAGTCCTATGAGTTTAAACCCTTATGTAATTTATAGAAAAAAATAAGGTTAAAGTAGAATATCCTGACAAGGATATTGAGAAATATTAATTTCTTGGCGATATTAGTGAAAACGGTTAAAGATATTTGATATTCAGACCGTCGGTTATCTATATAATCGCTACAGACTGGGTCACTAATGGGTAGCTGAAATGCTATTTAATGTACAGTCGGAACTTTACACATTTTGTGTATATAATATACGAATTCAAAGTTATTATAGCATTGTGGTTTTTCACAATGTAAGTTTGTATGTTTTACCTTATGGTCAAATGAGTTTGTGAGGTGCAACAGTTATTACAAATTTAATGAGTGCTATTCCTTGAATAGGACAAGATATTGTTGAGTTTTTATGAGGAGGTTTCTCAGTAAATAATGCAACTTTAAACAGATTTTTTGCTTTACATTTTGTATTGCCTTTTGTTTTAGCTGCTTTAGTATTAATGCATTTAATTGCATATCATGAAAAAGTAGGATCAGGTAATCCTTTAGGTATATCAGCTAACTATGATAGATTGCCTTTTGCTCCTTATTATATATTCAAAGATTTAATAACATTCTTTTTATTTTTCTTTGTTTTATCTGTGTTTGTTTTCTTTATGCCTAATGCATTAGGTGATAGTGAAAATTATATTATGGCAAATCCTATGCAGACACCACCTGCTATAGTACCAGAGTGATAAAGTAAAGATGTCACTTAATCTCGTTATATACTGAAAAGTCCTTTTTATTTGGATAATCAGTAGAGTATCAATTTATATTGAGCTTGCAGAGACTATGCTCGAGACACATATTTTTGTGAAGATATAGTCCAATAATTATAGAAATATAATTTAATTAAGAATAAATCTTATATAAATTAGGAATATAATAAGATATTATTCTTAATTAAAAGATCTTTTACCTTTCTATGCTATATTAAGATCTATACCTAATAAATTATTAGGAGTTATTGCTATGTTTTCATCTATTTTTATAATATTAGTTATGCCTATAACTGATTTATCTAAATATAGAGGTTTACAATTTAGACCTTTAAGTAAAGTAGCTTTTTATGGATTTATAGCTAATTTATTGATATTAATGCAAATAGGAGCAAAACATGTAGAAAGTCCATTTATAGAATTTGGTCAAATATCTACTGTTTTATACTTCTCGCATTTTTTAATAATAATGCCTTTAATTAGCTTAATTGAAAATACTTTAGTTGAGTTAATTACAAAAAAACATTAATATAATATATTTATATATTGTATTTAAGGAGTTTGAGTAGATGGTTCTGCGTTTTGATTGCAAATTGAAATATAGGGATTCGATTTCCCCAAACTCTTGTATTTTATTTTTTTTTCTTTATTTTATTCTTAGTTTGATAAATTTTATTTAAAGTAGTAAATAAACTTTTAGTTTATTATTTATATTTATATAATATAGACAAATATTTTTATTTTTATAAATAATATAAAAATATTTAATATTTGTTAAGTTTATCTTCTATAATTTCTATCCTTGAAGGTTTATTAGTAGTTGTGCCTGCTTTACTTTCTGTTGCTTTTGTAACTGTAGCTGAAAGAAAAACTATGGCAAGTATGCAAAGAAGATTGGGTCCTAATATAGTAGGTTATTACGGGTTATTACAAGCTTTTGCTGATGCTTTAAAATTATTATTAAAAGAATATGTTGCTCCTACACAAGCTAATATTATATTATTTTTTCTTGGGCCTATTATAACTTTAATTTTTTCTCTATTAGGTTATCTTGTTATACCTTATGGTTCAGGATTATATATTTCTGATTTTAGTTTGGGTATTATTTATATGTTAGCTGTATCTTCTTTGGCTACTTATGGTATATTATTAGCAGGTTGATCTGCTAATTCTAAATATGCTTTTTTAGGATCTTTAAGAAGTACAGCTCAATTAATTAGTTATGAGTTAATTTTAAGTTCTGTTATAATATTAGTTGTTTTATTAACAGGTAGTCTTAATTTAATATCAATAGTTGAGTCTCAAAAAATAGTTAGTTTTATTTTTCCTTTATTACCTCTATTTTTAATTTTTTTCATAGGTTCTATAGCTGAAACTAATAGAGCTCCTTTTGATTTAGCCGAGGCTGAATCTGAATTAGTTAGTGGTTTTATGACAGAACATTCTTCTGTTATATTTGTTTTTTTCTTTCTTGCTGAATATGCAAGTATTATTTTAATATGTATTTTAAATAGTTTATTATTTTTAGGGGGTTATTTAAGTATAATACCTTTAGATATAATAATAAATATTATAGATTTATTCTTTGATGTTAGAGAAACAATTATTTTTGATTTATTTATTCATATATCTTCTTCTCCTTTAAATTTAGCTATTAAAACAGTTATATTAATATTTATTTTTATTTGAGTTAGAGCTTCTTTCCCTAGAATACGTTTTGATCAATTAATGTCAGTATGTTGAACAGTATTATTACCTATAGTAATAGCTTACATTGTATTTATACCTTGTATTATTTACGGTTTTAACATATTACCTGTAAATATTTCATTATTATAGTAATATATAGTAAGGTTTTAATTACTTAAAAATATATATTATTCAATATAGATATATATTTTTATATATATATTTTTCTCTTAATATATATTTATATTAAAATAAAATAATATATATGTATATATTATAATTATTACTAACATCGTATGTAAGTTATATAAATATTAGATAAATAATTTAATATGTAGTAAATAAAAACAATTGTAAATAAAAATGTCTTTTTTATTATTATTAATACCTTTAATAGGTATAAGTTTTATTATTTTAGAATCAGATAAAAATAATATTGTAAATAATTATAGAATTAAATATATAGGTTTAATAACTTCGATTATAAATTTAATAGTATCATTAGTAATGTTTATAATGTTTGATTTTTCAAGTAAACAATTCCAATTTATTGAAGAACAATATCAAATAAATTATTTTGATATATATTTAGGTGTTGATGGTTTATCAATATATTTTGTTATATTAACTACTATAATAATGCCTATTGCATTACTATCAAATTGAGATTCAATACAAACTAAAAATGTGTTATCTTTTGTAGTTATAATTTTATTATTAGAAACATTATTATTAGCTGTTTTTTTAGTTTTAGATATATTATTATTTTATATATTTTTTGAAAGTATATTACCACCTTTATTTTTACTAATAGGTATATTTGGGTCAAGTAATAAAGTAAGAGCAAGCTTTTATTTATTTTTATATACTTTATTAGGATCATTATTTATGTTGTTATCTATAATAACAATGGCTTCAATTATGGGTACTACAGATTTTGATGCTTTATTTAAAACTAATTTTGAATATACAACACAATTATTTTTATTTTATGGTATATTTATAGCTTTTGCTGTAAAAACTCCAACTATTTTCTTAAACACTTGATTATTAAAAGCTCATGTTGAATCACCTTTATCAGGAAGTATAATATTGGCTGGTATAGTATTAAAATTAAGTTTGTATGGTATATTTAGATTAATTTTACCTATATTACCTAAAGCATCTTTAAATTATACTTATATAGTATATGTTATAGGTGTAATAACTATTATATATGCTAGTTTTAGTACTTTAAGAACTATCGATATTAAAGAGCTTATAGCTTATTCTTCTGTATCTCATGCAGCTGTTTATCTTTTAGGTGCTTTTAGTAATACAATTCAAGGTATTGAAGGTGCAATAACTTTAGGTTTAGCTCATGGTTTTGTTTCTTCAGGTTTATTTATTTGTGCTGGAGGTGTTTTATATGATAGATCTTCTACTAGATTAATAACTTATTATAGAGGTATGGGACAAATTATGCCCATATTTAGTATATTATTCTTAATCTTATCATTAGGTAATTGTGGAGTACCTTTAACTCTTAATTTTTTAGGTGAGTTTATGTCTTTATATGGAGTATTTGAAAGAATGCCTTTTTTAGGTATTTTAGCTAGTTCTTCTATTATATTTTCTGCAGCTTATACTATTTTTATGTATAATAGAATAGCATTTGGTGGTTCGTATTCTGTTTTCTTTAAAGAAAATTTAAGAGATGTTAATAAAAGAGAATTTATTATGTTATTAATTTTTGTTATATTAACTGTTTTATTTGGTATATACCCTGCTCCTATATTAGATGGTTTACATTATTCAGTTTCTTCATTAATATATAATACAATTTAACCTTTTTTTATTCTTATTAGCTCAATGGTAGAGCAGAATACTTCTAATATTTTGATCCATGTTCGAGTCCTGGATAAGAATAAGAATATATAATAGTATATATTATTAACATTGTATATGTTGTTATATATAAAATAAAAAAAGGTTAAATTTAGTCTTTTCAAAATCTTAAAAAGTAATGATATAACAAAAAAAATATCTATTAAAAATTAAATAAAGTATATGCCACAATTAGTACCTTTTTTTTTTGTTAATCAAGTAGTATTTGCTTTTGCAATTCTTACAATATTAATATACACATTTTCTAAATATATATTACCTAAATTTGTTCGTATTTTTATATCTCGTATTTATATAAATAAATTATAGTATAATTTAGAATTTTTTTAGATCTATAACATAAATATATAATTTAAAAAAAAAATTTTTTTTATGTTTAATACTATATTAAGTCCTCTTGATCAATTTGAAATAAGAGATTTACTTTCTTTAAATATTAGTTTTTTAAATAATATTCATTTATCTTTAACAAGTATAGGTTTATACCTATCTATAGGTTTAGTATTAATTTTAGGTTATAGTTTATTATCTACAAATTATAATAAAATAATACCTAATAGTTGATCATTAAGTCAAGAAACTTTATATTTTACTGTACATGGTATAGTAATTAGCCAAATAAACGCTAATAAAGGACAAATGTACTTTCCTTTTATATATTCATTATTTATATTTATTTTATTTAATAATTTAATAGGTTTAATACCATATAGTTTTGCATCTACATCTCATTTTATTTTAACTTTCTCATTAAGTTTTAGTGTAGTTTTAGGTGCAACTATTTTAGGTTTCCAAAAACATGGATTAAAATTCTTTTCTTTATTTGTACCATCTGGTTGTCCTTTAGGTTTATTACCTTTATTAGTATTAATAGAATTTATTTCTTATTTATCTAGAAATGTTTCATTAGGATTAAGATTGGCAGCTAACATATGGAGTGATAATAGGTAAAATCACTCAAAATGTGTAAAAGAGTCAAACTCCGGGGAAGCCCTAAAGCCTTAATAACCAAGCAATTAAAGGAAACTTTTTTGTGGCCTGATTAATGACTCAGGGTATGGTAATATCATTAAGGATGATGGTAACTGAAATGGGTAATCGCGGATCTAAATCAAAATTTAATTTTGTAAAAGAGCAACGAGTAGACGGCTCTTCAATTATTAATATTATTATAATTGTAAGGTATACTCTAGTCGCCGGGAAATCCGGTTCTTGGAAGAAATATAGTAATCTGAGATTAAAGTTACCACAATAACCTTTCCCTATTTATTTGTTTTATTTTTTTTTTTTAGTTTAATTTGATAGGTTTATTGTGTGAACGATGTATAAATGTTATTTATTTTCACTTAAAAAAAGATAAAGTTGTTTACGGACACTTTAATAATTTATTTTGTATATCAAATTACAGACCTAAGTCAATATTACCTCTATTTAATTCAATTAATATATCAAGATCTTATTCAACTAAATCCAATAATTTATTATATTTTAGTGATGCGGATAAATATAAATTAGAAATATTAGAAAGTAGTAAAGATAAAATAGGTATATATATGTGAACTAATAAGTTAAACGGTAAAAATTATATAGGTAGTTCTATAAATTTAAAACGTAGATTTTTAGAATATTTTAATATTAACAGATTATTAATCTCACAAAGTATGCCTATTAACGTAGCATTATTAAAATATGGATATCAAAATTTTAGTTTAACTATTTTAGAGTATTGTGATATTTCCAATATTATGGATAGAGAAAAATATTATTTTAATCTATATTTACCTGAGTATAATATTTTAAAAGAACCAGGTAATCCTTCTAGGGGGTCTGGTTGAAAACATTCTGAAGCTTCTATAGAATTAATGCGTATTTCTGCATTAGATAGAAATAAATCTTCAGAATTTAAAAATAAATTATCTTTATCTCAAAAGAGTGGTATAGGTATAGAAGTAAATGATTTAAAAACAAACACTGTTACTAGATATCATGCTATAAAAGCTGCAGCTCGTGCATTAAACATAAATAAAAAATATATAGAAAATTATATATATTTAAATCAAGATAAACCAGTTTTGGATAGATATACTTTTGAATTAATTATTAAAACTGATACAGATGTTATTTTTAATAATGAAAAAAAATCCAAAAAACTTCTAAGAGATTAGAAGTAACTAATGTTCAAACTAACGAAATAAACATATATCCTTCTATAGGAAGCGGTAGTAGAGCATTAGGTTTATATCAAGCTAGTATATCTTTATACTTAAAAGAAAATAGAAAAAAACCTTTTAAAAACAAATATATATTTAAATTAATTTAAACATAAATAGGGATAAAATTGTGGACGATTATCAGGGCATATGCTTTTATCTATATTGTCAGGATTTACATATAAAATAATGACTAGTGGAATATTATTCTTTATATTAGGATTAATACCTTTAGCATTTATTATAGCTTTTTCTGGATTAGAATTAGCAATAGCATTTATTCAAGCTCAAGTATTTGTAGTGTTAACATGTTCTTATATTAAAGATGGTTTAGATTTACATTAATAAATAAATAAATAAATAATTAATTAATTAATAAATAAATAAATGTAAATTAATAAAGCTCTTATAGCTCAATGGTAGAGCAGGATACTGTTAATATCTGTATAGATGTTCGATTCATCTTAAGGGCTAGGGTGAGAGCCCATTAGTAGGTAAATATACCTACCTAGAGGAAGGTTCGGTGCTAAGTAATGTATTTGATTTGAGAAACCACGACGTTGAAAGGTGAAGGGGTATAGAAGAAACTAAAGTTACTTTATAAATTAATAATTTATGTAAAGTAATTGAGAACGCATCACTGATACATAGCATTTATTTAGAAACATATAAACAAAAACCGTCCTATTGATTTTTTAATATTAGTAAATATTTATTCAAAAAAATTTTTTGATAAATATATATTTATCAATATAGATATATATACATACATATATATCAGATATATTTTTTTTATTTTTGAGTTTGATGATGGCTCTGATTGAACGCTGTCTAAGTACTTGACACATGCTAATCGAACGATTTTATTCCTATAAAGAGTAAAATAGTGGTGTACAGGTGAGTAAAAGATAATTTGGCTACCTTAAAGTAAGGGTAAATCTCTTATAAAAAAATCAAAAAAAAGGAAAATCAGAATTTCTGCTTTAAGATGTTATTTTTTATCTCGGTGTGGTAGTAGTAAAGGTAATGACTTTTCTAGCTAACATTCGTAGTCGTGACTGAGAGGTCGATCGACCACATTGGGTCTGAAAAAACCCCAATGCGTATTAGTACAGCAGTGAGGGATATTGGTCAATGGTCTAACGACTGAACCAGTAACTTGGAAGAATGTAAATATATTATATAATAATATAGCAACGATTAATTCGTATAAAATTCTAAATAGAATAATGATAATGACAATTTTCTATTTATAAGTCTTGACCAAATTACGTGCCAGCAGTCGCGGTAATACGTAGAAGACTAGTGTTAGTCATCTTTATTAGGTTTAAAGGGTACCTAGACGGTAAATAAAACTTGAATAGAGTACTTATTTGCTAGAGTTTTATAAGAGAAGGAAGAACTTCTGGAGTAGTGATAGAATACGTTGATACTAGAGGGACTGGTTACGGCGAAGGCATCCTTCTATGTAAAAACTGACGTTGAGGGACGAAGGCTTGGGGATCAATAAGGATTAGATACCCTAGTAGTCCAAGCAGAAAATGATGAGTGTCATAGGCTAGATACCGAATTTGGCCTATAAATGAAAGTGTAAGCATTCCACCTCAAGAGTACTATGGCAACATATAAACTGAAATCATTAGACCGTTTCTGAAACCAGTAGTGAAGTATGTTATTTAATTCGATAATCCGCGAATAACCTTACCACAACTTGAATAATATTAATTTATTACAAGCGCTGCACGGCTGTCTTTAGTTAATGTCGTGAGATCTGGTTAACTCCTAAAATTAACGAAAACCCTCATTTTATTTTTATACATAAAATGGTTCTCCAGTATAGTGGAAAGATAACAGGGATTAAGACAAGTCATCATGGCCTAAATGTTGTGGGCTATAGACGTGCCACATACGCCTTTACAAAGGGATGCGATATTGTGAAATGGAGCTAATCCCCAAAAAAGGATATAATATGGATTGTTGTCTGTAATTCGACAGCATGAATAAGGAATTACTAGTAATCGTGAATCACCAGCGTCACGGTGAATTTAATCTCAGCTAGGTACTAACCACTCGTCAGGCGCTGAAAGAAGTATGTGCAATAAGTTTGGTTTATTTATATATTAATATATATAATTAGTTATATAAATATATATGTATAATTTTCGTATGCATGACTTTAATTGGTGTTAAGTCGAAATATGGTTCGTGTAATGGAAATTGCACGGGATGAATTAACTTGAACAATTTATTAAAAGAATAGTATAAAATATCTGATTTTTTTATTTATTTAGAGAAATAGATAATTGGCTTATATGATTTCTTTTAAATTATATTATTATATAATTATAATAAAAATTATAATTATATAAAGGAAGGTTCCATTATTGGTAAAATGGGTTGAGCTGTAAACTCAATAGCTATTCGCTTTTATGAGTTCGAATCTCTTGCTTCCTAGCTATATATATATTAATATATGTTTGTTTGTTTGTTTTTAATAGAGTTATAATCTATTATTCTTGTTAATTTTTATTATTTTGATATTATACTATATTTTTATATGTATAATTAATTAATGACAAATATTAAATATTTTAATTTTTTTATGAATAATTTGTATGTTTTAAAAGATTGTATTAGTTATGGTTACATACCAGAATTAATAGATATAATTTATTTATCTTCCATATTATTTGGAATATTAACTATTATTAATAAAAATCCTATTATCTCGGTATTGTTTTTAATAGGGTTGTTTATAAATATATCAAGTTTATTGATAATAATAGGATTTACTTTTATAGGGTTATCTTATATACTAGTGTATGTAGGAGCTGTTTCAATATTATTTTTATTTATTTTAATGTTAATAAATATAAGAATATCAGAACTTTCAGATGAAACTAATAATGATGTACCTTTAGCTATTTTAATTGTTATGTTATTTTTTTATATTATAAGACAAATATTACCTTCTAATATTTTATATTTAAACCAATTTATTTATTTAAATAAAAATAATATAGAATTAATAGATGATTTTGTTACTACAGAACAAATAGTACAAGCTAGTAGTAAATCTTGAGACACTAATTTAGTAGATGTAACTCATATTACAGGTATAGGTAATGTAATTTATACTAATTATGCTGTTTGACTTGTAATTACATCAATAATATTATTATTAGCAATGGTAGGTTCTATTGTAATAACAATAAAACAAAAATAAAATAAAATAAAATAAAATAAAATAACTAAAAAAAAATTTTTTATTATCTTTATAAACTTGTGAGTTTTTTTTAATATAAAATGAATTATATACCTAAAGCAAATTTTCAACATCATCCGTTTCATTTAGTATCTCCTTCTCCTTGACCTTTATTTTCTAGTATATCTTTATTTATCTTAACAACTTCTACAGTTTTATTTATGCATGGATTTGAATTATTTGAATATTTTGTATTTTTAAGTGTATTAAATGTAATTTATACTATGGGTTTATGATTTAGAGATATTATCTCAGAAGGTACTTATTTAGGAAATCATACTTACGCTGTACAAAGAGGATTAAATTTAGGTGTTGGTTTATTTATAATATCTGAAGTATTTTTTTTCTTAGCTATTTTCTGAGCATATTTTCACAGTTCAATATCTCCTAGTATAGAATTAGGAACTCAATGACCTCCTATGGGTATTGAAGGTGTAAATCCTTTTGAATTACCATTATTAAATACTATAATATTATTATCATCAGGAGTAACAATAACTTATGCTCATCATTCATTAATTCAAGGAAATAGAAAAGGAGCTTTATATGGTACTATAGCTACTATAAATTTAGCTATTATCTTTACAGGTTTCCAAGGTTTAGAGTATACAGTTTCATCTTTTACTATAACAGATAGTGTATACGGATCATGTTTTTATTTTGGTACAGGTTTCCACGGGTTACATGTAATAATAGGAACAGCTTTTTTAGCCGTAGGTTTATGACGTTTAATGGCTTATCATTTAACAGATCATCACCATTTAGGTTATGAATCAGGTATTTTATACTGACATTTTGTGGATGTAGTATGATTATTTTTATATATATCTGTTTATTACTGAGGTTATTAAATATATTTAATATATTTTAATAATATAAATCGTGTTAGTTTAATGGTAAAATAGTATGCTACGGACATACTTATATAAGTTCGAGTCTTATACACGTTAAAAATAAAAATAAAAATAAATATAAATATAAATAGTATATATTATATATAGAGACCTTAGTTTAACGGTAAAACATATGACTTTTAATCATTACTTTATGAGTTCAAATCTCATAGGTCTTATAATAAATAACAATGACTATAGTTTAATGGTAGAATGGTCGATTTCCAATCGATAAGTGCTGATTCGAATTCAGCTAGTCATAAGTTAATAAAAAAACGATCATAAGTTAGTGGTAGACTACTCGTTTACCAAACGAGGTGGGCTGATTCGAATTCAGCTGGTCGTAATTAAGGGTTAGTAACTTAATTGGTAAAGGGTATCTTTGTCGAAGATATAGATGTCGGATCGAAGCCGACCTAACCCGTAAATAGGAAAGGTAGCCATAGGTAAGGTAGGTCGTTTGCTAAACGATATATGTTAATATTTAAGAGTTCGAATCTCTTCTTTTCCGAATAAGAG